GTTAACCATGAGGTAACAGTATATTTCCAAATGTTCAGTCCTAGCTTGCCTTTTCCCTATTTTTGTGAGACAACTCTCGGCTTTGGATGGAAAATGGCCTTTTTAAGATAGGCATCTTGCAAGAAAATCGGCCTAGACTACATCTCAACAACTCTAACTGTGCGTGCATTTGCATTTAAAAGAATTCCTTCTTATGTTCCATGCAAAATAAATCCCACAGTCGCTACATCATTCTCATAAGGCCGATGTCAACGTTCACAAATCGGTGGGCAATCTCATAACGAAAAAAACCCTGCAATCATTTCCATTATGTTTCCTCTAAAACGTATACTTTTGTCGCGTTCTTTGATATCTAGACGTTATTTTTCATAGGATAAAAATGTCCACCACTGTCTCGTGGATTTTTTTTGAAATTACGATGAGTCTGTTTTCGTATAGCCCTCAATTAAAACGGCACGACAACTGCGTCGCCCGCAGACTCGACAAAACAACATCGCCGGCTGAACCAATCAGGTGTCAGTGCGTCAGTGCACTTCATGTCGCGCAGACGAAAACAACTTCCCTGTGAGGCAAATGGGTGTACATACGTCACGTGAAGACGTGGATGCAAAGACGCAATGGTGCACGTACCCATGCCTGCGCCTCATAAACACGAGCCGCCAGTATCACGCTTTAGCGCGGGCGGAGCAATATCCACAGGCGGCGTTATCAAATCCTTGTGGTTGTTAATCTACTACTACTACTACTACTACTACTACTACTACTACTACTACTACTACTACTACTACTACTACTACTACTACTACTACTACTACTACTACTACTACTACTACTACTACTACTACTACTACTACTACTACTACTACTACTACTACTACTACTACTACTACCACCACCACCACCACCACCACCACCACCACCAGCGTGTGTTCCACAGCAAGGTGACTTATGCGTGACTTGGTTTATAGTGGTAACAAACTTGCACAGCATCTGCCGTACTCCCTCATCCTCTCCGCATGAGTCCGATGCGAAGGCATAGTCAAGAAGACCGGAGGGGGGAGGGGGAGCAGATGCCTGACGCGGCCAGACTTGCACCTGGGCGTACCACCACACTCCCTGGTCCACAACAAACATTTGACCAGGATTTTTACCAACCACAAAGTAAATGGGTCGGAAGAGGAGGATGACTGGGCAACTAAACACACAGCTTGTATACCCAGCGGGAGCGCAAGTGCATACACCGGCAGAGAATCAGGTGCCAGAGGAGTGTCAGTTCACACTAGACTTCGAGGGCCATAGTTTGCTGAATCGTAGCATGTTAGTCGCACACAGTCCTTAAAGCTCACGAGTGTGAGACTCAGCTCTGTATCTAGCTTAGGCCATCACTCTTGAAACCCCGGGCATCGACTGAGAGACATTATTCATAAGCAAATACGCACTCCTCACATGCGTGAGTGTCAGAGGTCACTTTAAGAAGGAGCCATTGCAGCCTGACACTAAGTCCACCAGCCCTCCACTCCACACACTACTGGGCAGACCGCGTGGACTAAGTAGAGGCATCAGTCGGCAACCCTGCAAGCCACGGCGCTTGGCGCAGCGTGATGGTACCAGGCTCGGATCACACATGCAGCAGAGGAGCCGCATGGAAAAGAAGCCGAGGCGCACACTTTCCACATGCGTGACAGGTGTCGGTTATTTGTGTGCATTGTGTGATGGTGATGTTGGTGTTTGTAGCAGGTATTGGTGGGTAGAGGTGTGATGGTGTGGTATAGCCGACGATTGTCAACCGCAGGTTTTCATGAATGCGCATGTGGTCTAGTAGGCCCATGCGGTGGGAGTGCGAAGGCATTGCGGGCAATTAAGGCGAATGCGTCTGATTTATGGTGGTGCTCCAGGCATTGCTTCATCTTCTCCGTGCGATGGATTTGCAATTCAGAAGATGAAGATACGATCGCTGGAACAAGAAATTTCCAAATGACCGACCAGGCCGAATTGTGAGGCGAATGTGCGGGGACAGTGTGCGCAGGACGGGTCGGAAACTCCAGAATCGATTTTAGTGATAAGGCTGGTGGTAGAGTTGCTGCTGGGGGGGGGTCTGCGATGGACGATGGGATGTTGACTGAGCTAGGCATGGTGGGTGTGATGGGTGTACTAGATGTGTCGAGGCTTCAGTGAATTCTGCTGTCGTGGATGGACATGTGACCGAGTAGGCCCATGCGGTGACAAAATGTGCGAGGACAGTGAGGGCGGTGAAGGCGGATGCGGCGAATGTATGTGAGTGCTCAAGGCACTGGTTCTCCACTCCTTGTGCAATGGATTCGCAAGTGACCAGCCAGGTCGATGTGTGAGGTGAATGTGCGATCGCATTGAGGACAGGCTTGGGCCGAGTCCACATCGCCGGATGTGGCGGTGCTGGTGGTGTTGCTAGCAGTTGCTGGAACGTCGGCCGTCGTCCCGTCGGGTAGGGGGGGGAGGGGGGGGGGAAGAGTGCGAGATGTCGTGGTGTTGGCCATTGTGGTGGATGCAGGGGTTGGGGCAGGGTGGATAGTGTCGGCGGATGGTGGGGGCAGAGCAGCGACATTATGATTGGCGGTGATGTAGGTCGTCGTCGTCGTGGGACTTACGCACGAGTGGGTGAGAGGATGTTCCTGGGAGGAGAAATCGACGTTGTCGAATTGTTGACGCACCGTGCCCAACAAGGCCGATGCGCGCGCGGAATGCGCGTTGACAGTGCGGGTATTTTGGACACAGCTGATAGTTGGCATTGAGGAGTCGAGGCACTTATGACTTCCAAGGCTCCCTTTTGTTTTGGCGACGGAGATCCGATTTCCTTCGTAGATGACTTCACTGGTCCTCTCCTCACTTCGCCATTTTGATCTGTTTTGGGAGAGGTCCTCTCAGGTCTCCGGGCTGATCTGCAGTCGTTTCCGTGAGTTAGTCCGAGTGTCCTTGTAGCGTAATTTTCGTCCTCCTTGTCAACGAGCACCTGTGACAACATCACCATAGATGAGTTGTTTTTGTAGGTGAGCGTCGTCTGTTTTCTCCAGACGACTGTTCCATCGCAGTTTCAGTTGTCTCAGCATGCGTGGATGCTGAGGACTCCGGTCCGTCCCAGGACTTCCTTGTCGGTGGTCGGCTATTCCCATCTTAGCTTTATCATTCTGCGAAGGCAGGTGAGATGGAGGTGGTTGAGCTTCTTAGCATAGAGTAGCCGGTCCATACCTTCGCTCCTAATAGGAGTATTGTCAGAATGATGGCCTGTTTGGTATTCAGTTGGGAGCCGTGCCGATTCCACACGGAGTTCTGCAGCCGACCGAAGGCTTGGCTGGCTTTGGAGATTCGGTGGGCCACATCGTCGCCGATTCTTGTACTGTAGTGTGCTTACAAGGCAAACGAAGTTGCCCGCGATTTTGAGTTGGTTGCTTTCAACATTGATTCGAGGAGTAGTGCTGTGTTGCGTGTTGAATGACGGCTGGTGCATGGCCACCGTCTTGTCCGTGGTTGAGGAGAGGAGGCGCAAGCTCCATTACACGTCTTTTTTGGTCGTGGTGTGGAGCGCGAAATCGTCGGCGAAAAGCAGGTTGTGGATGGTGGTCGTAGATGGGTGCATTATGGCCTTCATGAGCCTGATGTCCGCCAATTCTGTAGGTGATGCGTATTCCGAGGCGCTCATAGCGGTAGGCGTCCCCCAGCATGGCAGAGAGGCTAAATATGGTAGGCAGCCCTGCTTCACTTAACTGGTCACCGCAAATGCCTTGGAGATCGCCGTTGTCGGTGACGAGGGTCATCAGTCCCTCGTAGAGCTGACGTACCGTGCGCGTGAATCGTTCGGGACAACCGAATTTCTGCAGGATTTTCCGCAGCCCCTCACAATTTACCGTATCGAAGGCTTTCGTCAAGTCTAAGGAGGTAGTGTAGAGGTGAGTTTGCATCTTCTGGCACTGTTTTTTAACTGGCAGGTAGCAAGCACTGTGTCGGTGGTGCCCGGTGTCGTCGAAAGCCACACTGGCTTTCCAGCAGAAGTGTCCGTTGGGGCGACTGATGAGGATGCGGGCGAAGATCTTCCCGACGATGTTGAATAGCGAGACCCCTCTGTCATTGTCACAGAGTTGCTGGTTCCCTTTGCACTTTAAGGGATGAACGATTGTTTGCATCCTTGAAATCCTGAGGAAGTTGTGCACAGCGCAACATCTCCTGAAACAGCTCCGTGAGTTGGTCCATCAGTTGTTGGTCGACTGACTAGTAGATTTCGACAGTGGAGCCGGTTCTTTTTCCAGGCGGAGCGTTGTTGCAGGACCGAAAGGTTCCTGAAGGGGGGCGGGCTTGAGATCCACTTCGGTTGCCGATAGAAACTAACAGGCGAGTTCTAGAAAGCAGGTCAGAAGAAGAAGATGCGATGACTGGGACAGGAAGTTTATTGGCCGGATGTTTCGAATTCTTCCTCAGACCCATCATCAGAGACGTTCGCAGATAAAGGTAGTGGAGGCAGAAAGACTGAAGTAGTTATAGTACGTAGCTCTCGTGGAGTCACATGCTTACTATACTTAACTTCTCTCGTGACCACCGCTGGAGGTCGTAATTGGGACGATGATGGCTCGTCAGCCCGCGTCCGAGTCGTCAGTGGTCACAATTTCATCCTCTGTGTTGAATGTCGACGTGATGATTACTCAGCCATTTGACCCGCTGTCCTCAGGATACTTGAGCGCCCGCACACTCCCCACGTGATGGATTCCCCTGCTCAGGGAATGCCTCAGCACTGAATATGGTACCGGAAGGTCATTGCGCTTGTTGATGGATTACGGACCTGAGATCTATAATTCGGACAGATCGCGGCTCACGCAGTTCACAACTCTTGCAAGGATTTCGGCCTCTTGAAACTTGAAAATATGGCCGGGCTACGTGGTGTGAGCTGCTAGCTGAGAGCTAATGTCTTTCCCCCTCACCGCTGCGGCGTGCTCAGCCATCTGCGTCTGGAGTAGACTCCCAGTTTCTCCGACGTAGTCGCTCTGTCCGCAACTGCACCGGATTCAGTAAACGACTCCAGACATTTCTTACCGTGGCAGCAGGTCTCTTGTCCTCATGACTTGACTCCTGATGGTTGCTTCCGGGCTGTGTGCTATTCTCACTCCAAGTGGAGTGAGAAGACGACTGACTGCTTCCGAGACGTCCCTCACATACAGAAGTGCTCGCCAAAATCTAGGGCCGGTTGGATTTGGTCTCTTGTTTCTTTTGCCTACGACAAAGTTGTGCGGGTAAACATTGGCTGTCAGTACACGTTGAAGATATTGTTATTCGGCAGCCTTGCCTTCCGTTTCACAGCAATGCGTTTCAACGCACCGGCATAGCACCCTTACGCAACTGCGTTTTTTGACCGATCGGGTGATGACTGTTGAACTTTAGTATTTGCGTCGTATTTGTCACATTCCTGAACACTTTGGTTTCTAAGCTACCGCAATCTTTGCGACAAACGAGGACATCCAGAATGACCAGCTGATTGTTTTCTTCCTCCAAAACCGCCAACTGAATTTCCGGAAAGACGACGTTGAGACGCTATGTGAATGTCTGCACCTGATCCCGTTTGATGACGACTAAGGTATCATCAACATATCGAGTCCATAATTTTGGTCTGAGGCGTCTGAAAACCAGCGAATCCAACCGTTGAGTCCTGAAATCGGCGAACCCATTGGCGTGCCCTTAACCTGCTCGTAGATTGTTCTATCGAACGTAAAGTAGGTCTTGAGACGGGATGAAAATGACGAGACGGTGGTCCGTCCAGTCATCGGCGTCACAGACCGCCTTGGTCGCTATCACGCCCTTCCAATCGCGCCGTCGGAGGAGAACGTAGTCCAACTGCATCCAAGTGGCCTTTTTACACATCGGCTGGCAGAAGATGTTGGCCAACAGGAGGCGGTGTTCTCCACAAGCTCGAAGGATGGGAAGCCAATGTTCTTTGTAGCCGGCAATTCCGTGAAGACCTAGCATTCTCCTCCAGGCAGCACAGTCTGTCCCAGTACGGGCTTTGAAGTCAACGAGGACAACTAACTTGTCCGCCTTCGGCACAGACGTCGGCAGGTTTTCGTAGTAGTGGGGTGGCGGCGCTGATGATTGGGGACGAAATTGGATCCCTGAAGAGGCAGGTGCGGGCCCATCAGGCAATCGTTGATGGTCTGTGATAGACAGGGCAGTCGAGCTACGATGTCGTTTTAGATGGCAAGGGCAACGCCACGGTCTCATTGCTCTGCCGGCGCCCACCTCCAGCCATATTCGGAGAACCGGGGGTGTTGATGAGTGCAGCGATTGGCCTGGACCGCCTTCGTGATTGCATGTCCCCCTCGCCGTATGCGTGGGTAGAATAGAGAGTAGACTTGGGGAGGGAAAGTGGACGGGGGGGGGAAGGGGGAGGAGAAGGTAAGAAAGACGGAGTCATCGCGCGTAGGGACACACAGAGCACCAGATACTATCGCCTGGCTCAGCCCGCCAGTCCAGGCGGTTACTGGGGCGTGACCCGTTAGGCAGAGCCTAGCTTCGAGGAGCCTCAAGTGAGAGTTGGGTGCCAGTTAATGGACGCTAGGTGTGGCCGACACCTGCAAGCAACGCACTGCGACCATCAATGGACCCACAGCTGGACACCCCTATACCCCCGCCGCCGCCGTCGCCGCCGCCGCCGCCGCCGCCGCTGCCACCACCACCACC